TTTTTTAGTAGTAAACCCCCCCCCCCAAAGACTTGAGAAAAATATTAGCCATTCCATTAATATTAATTATTTTTATTTTTTATTATATAATTAATAATAAAAATGACATTTTTTGTTATTAAACTGTTTTTTTTATTTATTTTTTTTATAGTTAAGGCAGTTCAAATTCAATGTCACGGTTAGGATTAAAGTACCTTTTGCTCCATGTCTTAGGACCATAAATCACATTTTTATATCCTTTAGTTGTTAGCAGAAGATCCATAATGGGAAGCATGTTTTCAAGGTTGGTTTAAACGTTGGCATTGTATGGTTGTCTATTCACTGGTCACTTGTAGGTGTGATTTCCAATATGTTTTAGTCCAGTATGGTCAGAAATCTTTAAGTTAGACATAAAGACATTATTCTATACGAACAGAGCAAGAAATCCAATACATTGTAATTTCAGCTAGTGTTATTTCCTGTTTGGATCAGATAAGGCCTTGATGTAGATAAAGCGAGCAAAGGAAAAGGAAAGAATTTATTGATTTCATGAAAATAAGCAGTGAGTGAAAGGACCGAATATTTAGAATGTGTTGTATGAAGTCCATGTCTTTATGCATTTTTTTTTTTCAAAAGGACCAAGGTTATATTTATTTGATGGAAAATACAGTAAAAACATTCATATTGTGAAATATTATTACAATTTAAATTAACTGTTTTTAATTTTTAATTTTAATATATTTTAAAATTTAATTTTTTCCTGTGATGGCAAAGTTGAATTTTCAGCAGCATTTACTCCAGGCTTTAATGTCACATGATCCTTCAGAAATCATTTAATATGCTAATTTGGTGTTCAAGAGACATTTACTATTATTACCAATTTTAAACAGTGCTTAAGCGATTTGTGGAAGATGTGAAACAGTTTTTCAGGATTTTTTTTGTTGTTGTTCAAAAGAACAGCATTTATTTGAAATAGAAACCTTTTCTAATAAATAAATGAAAATTTTCTTTTACTTTTGATCAATATACTGCATCCTTGCTGAATCAATGGTAGTGTTGTCTGTAAATTGGAATAAACAAGTAATCATCTATATTTATGTAAAATCTGAGTAAAAATTCTTCAACTTTTCCAACAGTTCCCTGCTATTTACAACATTGTTCCACTGCGAAAGTGTTATTTAAGTGCAAATCATGTGAACCATTCTGTGGTTTACACCATGCACCAAGTTTGTTGTTGCACATATGCTGCTACCTCAGAAGCAACACCGCAACCAATCCCAACCATTATTAGGGAAATGGCTTAATTGGATTAAATAATTAGCTGCAGAAGCACATGGTCTTTATGTTGTTCAGGGCTGTGGATCTGCTGTTGCAGGCTCAGCCAATTCTCCTGGCTCACAGGAAATACAGCTGACATGGTGTTTTATCATCCAGCTCTTTGGCCCAACACTCTCGCACACATCCATATACACACATGCATTTGGAATTTGACAGTGTTCTATAGTCTAACTCTCTTTCTTTTGTGTTTCTTCCATAGTCAAACTCTCTACCGGGATCCTTTAACCTGGCGCCATCCCATATGTTCGGAAACAGGCTGAATCCGAATTCCGCCATGGCTGCACTGATCGCCCAGTCCGAGGGCTCCCCGGCAGGTGAGACGCACAGACGAGGAACCATGCTGATCTTTAGCCGGTACCTCCCACTGGCGCAGGATTACCTTCTCAAAATCCATTCCTCCTGCTTCCTGCGCTCTCTTCTCCCATTTCTCCTCATCCTCCCATTCTTTCTCCGCTCCCCTGTGCATATGGAATGTGTGGTCAGCTGTATCCCCCTCCTAACCTCCTGAGGTCGCAGAGAGCGGGAGAGGCAGAGAACAAAACTCCCCGGGACAGAAAGCTGAAAGTGTGCATACCTGTTAAATGAAGCATGCTACCACTCAAACATTTCATTAATCTGCACAATGACCGCAGTGATGACACAGAGGGGATTGCCCTGGGTTTAGGAGGCAGGCTTACCTTACACTCAGCCTTTCCCTCCTTCTTCCCTCCATCCCGGACCACTCAACACTTTCCCCGGACCCTGCCTTATCCCTGGGGGTCTCGGTCATGAGCGAATGGGCTTGCAGGACCCCGTCATGGGGGTTGGGGTGGGGACCAGTTGAAAGCAAGAGAGAGAGAGAGGAAAAAAGGGGAACACAGCCTTTGAGGAATAATGGATCAGTCATGGCCTCATCCTCAAACAGAGGTCAGGGGGTCATTTGACTAACAATAGGAGGAAGAACATCCATCCTTAAAAAGAACACCGCTCGAGACTGGAAAGCTTGCATGCTCTTGGCATAAGCCCAGCTCTTGTCTGGCATTAGTTTACAGCGCAGCACTTATAAAGTAGGGCATATATATTGAACAGGTTAACGATTTGGCTTATATGTCGACATTTTGAGATGTATTCATTCTGTAGTTTAGTAAGATAAAAAAAAAAAAAAAAAGAATTTAATACTTTTATTCAGCAAGAATGCATTAAATTGATCAAAAGTGACAGTAAAGGCATTTATAAATAGTTTAAAAGATATGTATTTCAAATAAATGCTGTTCTTTTGAACTTTTTATTGATCAAAGAATCTTGAAAAAAAATGTTAACAGTTTCCACCAAAATATCAATTAGCACAGCTGTTTTCAACATTGGAAAATAATCAGAAATGTTTTTTAGTACCAAATTAGCATATTACAATGATTTCTGAAAGATCATGTGACACAAGACTGGAGTAATGGCTGCAGAAAATTCAGCTTTGCCATTGCAGAAATAAATTACATTTTAAAATATATTAAGATATATTTTAGATTTTCAATTTTAAAATTATAATAATTTATAATATTACTGTTTTACTGTATTTTTGATCAAATAAATGCGGCCTTGGAGATCATAAGAGACTTGGAATGGTTGTCTGTGTATACACACACAGACGTACGTATAACTTTATAGTTATAATATAAAAAAATTATATAAATGTATTCTAAATGTAAATCAATTATAATATCTTGTATAATGTATAATATAAATTAATGGTAATAATATATTCATTATTGTTTTTAGTGCATTTTTGAATAAATATTTTATCAAAATTGAGCAAATTTCTTACACCTCATCTAATTTGCTGTCATTTAATAAAAGTCAGGTATATATCAGCCATTGTCCACCATGTTGTCTAGATATTGGCATTGGTCAATTAAAAAAACCCTAGTCTAAAAATGTATAATGGGATCAGTGAGGCTGTGAAACAAGGCTTGTTTACTTTGGCAAAGTGCTTGTGATTTCCTCTCAACGCTGGTCACCTGTTGCTCCTCATAGGTTTCCACTGTGTCGTTTAGTCCCTGTTCATTCTGTCTTTTTTTATTTTGTAAAGTGATACCCGATGCTTTCGGGTCCAGTCTGCACTGCAGCCCCGGGGCTGATCCAGGGTCAGGCAAGGGGTCAGCACCATAATAAGTCAGACCAGACCTTGGGCGGCTCGTACTGATGTGCCCACACCCCCACTGGAGCCAGCCTGCGCTCGAGGTGGTAGTGGGCTGGAAAGTGTTAAAAAGAACAAGACGGGGTGAAAAAGGAAGTGGTGTCAGTGTGCAAGCTGAGCCGCCAGAGAGACCACTCTGCCGCCCCTAGATGGATTTCTGTGAGGAAGATCTGATGGCTACCAGGCTCACTTTGGATCGAGCTGCCCGTCCCTGCATTTCCCAGGCTCCTCTAACGCCCACATCTTCACACCGGCTCCTTATCGACTGCTCTCTGTTTACCTTTCAGATCAGGAGCTTGGAGACGGAGCTCTCGGCTTCTCCAGAAGAGGAAACTCGCCAAAGACAAACCTCTCCCCTCGGTAAGTCCTATTTACATTCCAGAGCTAGACTTCCCCTCCTCCAGGCTCTGAGATTTCACTCGCCCTCCCTACCTCCCCCACAGAACACACTCATTCACTCACTCCGTTTCCTCCCTTGTGCGCTCGCCTTCCGAACAGCAGGCATTTTGAGCACTCAGCTGTTGTCCATATCGCAGTTACAAACCGGCTTCAGAGTTCGACGTGGCGGCGATGTCTTCGAACGCAGAAAGAAACATTGCATTAGTTTTCTGTAACCTGAGATGTGGCCTTTTTTGCGCTGTGATTGAGGATATAAAACGGATTTATATGGAAGTATATATATACTGCACAAAAATTCCTCCTGGATATAATATGTTTGGTTGAAAAGGTATGTTGATTTGATTTTGATCGCTTTGTTATTTAAGAAGTGGGTTTATTTGGTATACTTTCATTGCTGCTTTAGTATATTTAATGTATGGATATTAGTATTAATATAAAACATATTTTTTTCAAATGCTGTATTTGACTATTTAGATCAGTTTTGTTTTGTTTTTTAGTCAAAATGTGTGTGAGAAATGCATTTAGCACAATATCGCTATAAACTCAAACTTGTCAGTTTGTGTGTTTGCATGGCAGCATTTTCAATACTGAAGGTACAAGAAACCGTTCACACTAAACGGGTTTTTGCATTACAAAGTGTTGCTTTTCAATTGTTTTTCTATGTAAATGTGCTAGATGGACGTGTTCGTCTGCTGATCTCATATTTTGCATCTTTTGCAGCGACTCGCACATGACACTGTGTTTTAAAAACAGGTTGCCTAATTTAAAAATGTCAACTCTTAAAAAAAAAATTTAAAAAAAACATGCATTTTTTCCAATTCCATTGCCATGCGACTCAAGTTTTTAAATATTAAAAAACACATTCTTTGTGAATGGGCCTTAAAAGTGTGCCAAATGTCCATGAATCTCATTCAGAAGAGCTCTGCACCATCGTCAGATTAAATGCGAATATCTGTATGTGCTGTTTCTGTGATCCGCACTGGAGCAGCCATGCAGGGTGATAATATGGCTTCACAGTCCTGTGCTGGAGATTTATTGCCTTGTGGAGCAGATCTCAGCCCAGCCATAATTACCCCAGAGATAGATTCACGTTCGCCAGAGAGCCCTGATGTAGAGCCCAGGGTTGGATGCATTCATAATAACACAGATCGCTGTCTGTCCAAACAAGAGCGTACTGAGATTTATGGTGTCAGAGAGGCAGGCCCTGGCTCTCTCACTTGGACGAGCTGTGAACTCTGTTTGGCTTTACTGAGCAGCGTGTCTGCCTCTGAAGGCATGATGCCAGACCAGGAGTTCAACTGTGTTGTTAATATAGGCGCAGCCTAGTGTGTATTTATAAGCGAAAGCTGATTATTTATTAATTAAATTGTACTAATGTGAACAGATCTGACATGCATTTCCATTTTAAATTCATGACGATGAATTTTGATGAGCTTGTGTGTATATACTTCTCACTTGTTTTCTATAAATGTCTTTAGGTCTCCGTTAAGTGGGCTTCATATCCGGTATGACTCGTCAGGACCGTTGGTTCCGGGGCTTGGATCTGGTTCGGATACGTTGCCCCCAGTGGCCACCAGCATCGACCAGCTGCTGGACCGGCAATGGAACGAAGGACAGCAGTTCCTCCTACAACAGGGCTCACAAGGAGATGGTGAGAGGCTTTCTTACACACATATAATGATGCATGTTGCTTCCGTATACAGTATTAAACCACAACTCAAGCACAGAGCTGTTTGGTTGTGTGTTGTGTGGTTGTCATTGTGCTGGTCTTGCTGGGGATGTTGTTGAGCCATAGGATACTGTCAGTTCTAATGATGGCTGATGCTACTGTTGTTTCTGAACATAAGCCTGCACTAGTGTTAATTTTGGCACTTATGTTTTTAAATTAGTCCTGTCAAATGTCTTTTTTAGCTGCTCAACACAAGGCCACATGGGTGTTTTTTAATCAGCTAATGAAGGTTGTGCTGGTGTTGTTAGTGGTGCATGCTTAGGACAATACTTGCTCGAGTATAAAACTTTGCCAAACTCATCCACGAAATAGAGTGCTGCAGCCCTGACGTCAAAACCTGGAAGTCTAATTCTCCTTAGGTTTCCTCAGGAATTTCCTAGGGGTTTCTATAATGTTTTTTTTTATTTATGAGTAAAACAATGTCTGTGGTAAATATAAAATGCTGATATTTGTATGTTTTGCTCTACAGTGTAAATTACACATACCCATACTGAAAATGTGAATTTTGAAGCTGTTATGTTTAAGTAACTACATTATTTTGGATTGTGAGTGAATGCAATTTGTTATACAGCAAAATGTCCAAGTATCGTCAAGTTATACAGAACTTATTTTACTAATAAATTGAAAAACCCAATGGGAAAATTTCAAGAAAATACATGGTGAATTAGACTTCCAGGTTTTGCACTCTGTGCGACAGACAAAAATAATACCTTAAATCATGTGGCTTGTTGAGAAGGCAAGTGCTTCTGTTTTTTTTTTTTTAAGTGACATGAGACTTAGGATTTTCACCTGATAAAAGGAGCCAAAAAAAAATATAAAATCGGTGAACTTGCATTAAATGAAAAAGCAAGGCCAAATTTAGAGACCAGAATGTCATAGAGACTTGAAAGTTGACACTTTTGACCTGGGTCAGTAAATAACCACGCAGAAGACCTTAGCAACCACATAGCAACATGCTAAAACCCACTCAGAACAACTTGGTAACCATATAGCAATGTCCTGGAAACCCACTTAACACTCCCTAGCATCATTGTGATGACTTTTAATTTGCATGTAAAATCAATTAATTCCTGTTATAACAATTTCAATAGCTGAGAGGGTTTACAGATTTGCTAAAGAAGGTTGTAGAGATATCAAAAGGCATTTTAAATTAATTTCTCATTAGTACGCTAAAAGCCTTTATTAATTATGGTCATTGAAAACGGGCTACATTTAAATTCAGTCTAATTTGTCCATTTTAATCTCAGGGTGCAAGGTGCATAGTGATAAACCTGGGTCTGTTGCTTTCACTGAAAATATTTTATTTAAAGTAAAAATGATTACATCATATAAACCTTATTTTACTGCATGTCAATCAAATAATATGCCGGTTTGAAGCCTGTAATTACATCCATCCCCATAATGTGGGTAATTTATGCATTGGTTAATACCGCAGTAATTATGATCTTCATTACCTGTATTTTGTCTGTGTGTAGTTTCGCGATCGGCTAAGTAGAGGTAGTAGCAAATCTTTCAGTAGCAGCAGGTCGGTTTGTAGTGTCACAATTGTGTGAATGAGCAGCAGCTGTTTCTGTTATGATAGAGGCTCTTCTGGCGACGGGGGGGGAAGTCTGACAAGCGCATGGAGCAGGAAGTGGTAGGACGGTTGTGTTTCTGTTCACCACTGATATGAGACCAGTTGTGCGGTTTTGCTGACACTGCATCTGGTTTGCATTTCGCTCTGGGTTGCTGGCCCCCGATCAGTGCCATGTGATCCTCCGAGAGCGGAAGTCTGTCGTTGTAGTTTTTTCTGGAGGTCTTGAACCACATGTGTGCCAGTGTAGTTTTCGGGCTTGTGGTATTGGGTTCGCTGCTTCATCTCGGTGGTTTTTAACCACTGCTATTTTGCTGTCAAATCTTGATGCGTATGTTTTGTGTGTGTGTGTGTGCGCTTTTATGTCCAGTTCTGGGAATGCTGAAGTCCCTGCACCAGCTGCAGGTGGAAAACCGGCGCCTGGAGGAGCAAATCCGAACTCTCACCATGAAGAAGGAACGACTGCAGCTCTTGAGCGCTCGCTCCTCTGTGCCTTTCACCCCCGCGAGCACCACAGCCACCACTGCCTCCTCTCCTCTGTACCCCAGCAACACTCACGCAGGTTAGACACACACGCTACCACTCAGGTAACTTCCTCTACCCCTGCTCTGCAGATGCCATCTGCTGGGACTGAGCACCTCTTTAGTTGAGTCAAGTGTTATATTATGTATATCTGTACATAGTTGAGTGTGTGGCAGTGATGTGATGGTGTAGTAAGTAATTGAATCGTAATGACAGATTCATGGGATAATTGGTGGCTGTGTGATGTTTAAATGACTTGCAGCATAAATCTGATCGGAATGATGCTATATCTATTTGGTTGGACAGGTAAAGGAGGCACCTCTCTCACGTTGACCTCTCTTTTCTCTCTCTCTCTCTCACGCTCTTGTGCTTTCTCTATTCTTTCTCTTTCTTTCAGCATCCCCTGTCTGGTGGCCATAGTAGTGGAAGTAGCACGTCCTCTCTCTCCACCCCTCCGTCTGCGGCCCACAGTCCCCCCCAGCAGCAGGTGAATGGAGTCGGCATGGCCGGGGTGGTCGTCCAGCCTGGCAATGTCAACTCAACCCTCCCTGCCATAGCCGGGGTGACGGGTCTGATGGGCACTCTGCAGGGGAACCACCTGGCCATGAGTGGCATCGTGGGCACCCTAAACGGAGTCATCCAAACCTCCCCCAGCCTGGCCCAGAATAACAGCCCCCTGCCCCATCCCTCAGCAGCTACCAGCACATCCCTGCCCATGTCCAACAGTCTCAGTAACAGGTACGAACTGGCACTCGCCGCCTTAGACTGATGAAGATGTGGATTTGTTGGTAAATCTCACGAAAACTTCAAGAAATTGGCCAGGTCATATTTTACCCTCAGAGCAAAAGAGAAATGAAATGTTATGTTTTATATATGTTACAAAAACAAATAATAAAAATGTGATTGCGACTTTTTATCTCACAATTCAGACTTTTTTTTCCTCAGAATTGTGAGTTTATATCTTGCGATTTTATAACACGCAATTGTGAGTTGAGTCAGAATTGTGAGATGTAAACTCTCAATTCTGAGAACATATCAGTCCTTTAGAATTGGACTTTATAACTCGCAATTCTGAGAAAAATTCTCAGAATTGCAAGAAAAAAGTCAGAATTGCAAGATACAAACTCGTATTTGCAAGAAGAAAGTCAGAATTGTGTTATCTCACAGTTCTTGACTTTATTTCTCGCAATTGCGAGTTTATATCTCGCAATTCTGACTTTATAACTCGAAAAAAGTCAATTGCGAGTTTGTATTACAGAATTTTAAGAAAAAAGTCAGAATTGCGAGATGTAAACTCGCAATTACCTTTTTTTATTCAGTGGCGGAAGCGGGCTTCCATATGTAACATTTATTTGATCAGTGAAAACAGTATTGTTATTATGAAATATTATGAATGTTTATTATGAAAGAATATCATGAAAGATTTCTATTTTAATATAAAATGTAATTTATTCCTATGATGGTAAAGCAAAATTTTCAGCAGCCATTACTCCAGTCATCAGTGTCACATGACTTACATTTCTTGTTAAAAACCGTTTTGCTGCTTAAATCTTACTGACTTAAAAAAAAAAAAACTTTTTAATATTTTATGCTGCTGTTTTAAAGACTTTTTTTTTTGACAAATATAAGAAAAATATATATTATTAAAGTGTATTGATATATTTAACTTTTTATTTAATTTATTATTTTAATTACATTTTTGGGTGAATTGTGACTTGGACATGTTCGTTAGATTCATCCATATTACTTGGCATTGTGTGCTGCATTCATATTTTCTTCATCTTTTCTGCTTCCCGATCTCTCTTTTGCTTGCGCTTTGGAATGCAGCAGCATGACCACTGTGAAAACCAGGTGAGGATTGGCTTGCTTTACCTTTTTCTTTCTCACTTGCTCATTTTGTTTCTCTGCCTGCGTGCCTTGCACCTGTACGTCTGCCTCTGAAACAGAATTGTGTACTTAAGATTGAACAGCTGATGTTTTCGAAGCAAGGTCCAGTTTAAACAGCCCTCCCTTTGTCAAAAAAAAACACCATTAGCTATGATAACAGTCTCTTTCCTTTAGTATACAGAGTGGTTTTATTTTATATGTAATACTTTTGTGCGGCCATGACCGAGAAGTTTTTGAAATGATGAAAATTTTGTTTGCTTATGAAGGTTTATGCATGTGTTTGCAGTGCGGCAAGGCATTTCAACGATCAGCACAGACAGATCCTCCTCCATCAGCACCAACTTCAGCAGCTTTTCAGCTCCCAGCAGGCCACACCGGTAAGAAGAGCACCAACACACTCCATTACACAGCCACAGAGTCTAGAGTTCGCTTGAGCATTCACAATTGTTCATGTGACTTAAAACATAAAGAGAGTCCACACAGCAGCTTATTTTAGCCATGATCCTTGTTATTAGTCAAGATGATTCTGTCTGAATGATATATATAATGTAACATGTAGAGCAGAATAAATCTGAAATAATACATTAATTCCAAGACCAAAAAATACAAAACACCTTATCTTTTGGTGATTCAATGCCATAAAACTCTCATACGTCTCAATGGCTTCTTCCTCAGAATTGTTTATTTCAGCATCCTGGCAGCTTGGAATTGCAATTTTGAGGAAATTCTTGCCACTATTCTGTGCAATATGCATCATACGGTCCGTGGGCAGTCTGTGGGTGTGCCGTCTTTGTCTAGACATCTCATCATACTCTGTTTGTCTGTCTGTGTTTAGGAACAGCAGCAGGCTCTGCTCTATCAGTTAATGCAACAGCAGCAGCATCAGCAGAATGACATACAGCTACAGCAGCTTCCAATCAACAGCCTCCTGCCCACCACGCAGCCAGCCATCACTACAAACCCCTTCCTCGCCATGCACAACGACAGCAACACTCCTAAAACTGGAGTTAGTACTGCAACTATCAAACAGACAAAAGTATTAACTTATAATATTCATGGATTCATTTTGAAGTATTTTTATTTTAAGTGCGTATGTAATTAATATATGAATGAATTAATATGAATATATAATTGTGGTAATATATATTATTTTTTAGAATTTTATGATTATTATTATTGTAAATGTATTAAATTAGTAAAATGATATAAGACATTTTTTCATATATATA